TTGGTAAAAGAGTAGACCAAGAGTTGGCGGTGGTGACTACCTGCCTTCCCTCTAGTCTTACACTGCTAAATTAGGGACGGCTAACGCAGATATCTCTCGTGTAGCTTTGCGCGAAATTCAAAAACAAACATATAACTCGTACTTCAATTTTCATTCACAATTAATTTCTATTTTGCGTATTTTTTAATCAAAGTATAGGTATATAAGAAAATACGAAAAAAATGCAATGAATTAAAATTTATTGATCTCATTTTTTTATGAAAAACTTATTTAGAGTGGCTTGTCGCATCGTATTCTTCTGTTCTTCATATAATTGGCGATACTGAGAAATTGCCTCATCAATTTTTCTGCAAATTTGACGGTTTCTATCTTCATCAGGGTCCGTTTCTAAACATTTTCCCCTTATATTCTTCAATAACCGTGAAAAGTTCTTGTAATTCCTTCTTCGTCATCTTCTTATGCTGGCGGGTAGGTAAGATTTCTTCACATTCATCAATGTCTTCATATGCTCTCTGAGTGTCCAAATTTATAAGATCCTTATTGGTTAGTTCTTCTGAATGAACTTCTAGCAATTCTTGCACATTTTCATCGTCAATCTCAGCGAAGCCAAGTTCTTTTCCAATATGAGTAATCTCTTTAATGACCTCTTCTGTATCTTTTGAAAAGCCTGTGACGTCTTGTGCACAGTGTGGAAAAACTGTCTTCCAAACACCTTGCATATTTTTAACTGAAATTTCATTCCATGCTTGATGGATATTATCAATAGCATCACTAATACTGAATTTCTTCCAAAATTGAACTAGTGTCATAGAATTTTCTCCAGATGTTGCTTGAAAGTCTTTCTCAGGTAGTATGTTTTAAAGGTCGCGATAACGCCCTGGTCCATTGGTTGCAATAAAGAGGTAGTGTTTGCGGACAAAAATGTCACTTGGATATAATGCACATTGAATCGAGACCAAAAGGATGACCAGGGGCATTATCTAAAATAAGCAAAGCTTTAAAATCTAAATTTCTTCTTCGGCAAAAGTCTTCAACCGTTGGACAAAAATACTTGACGAACCATTCTTCAAACAAAGCTTTAGTTACCCATGCTTTTTTATTAGATTTCCATATTATTGGTAAATGTCCTTGATTTATACCTTTAAGAGCTCTTGAATTCTGAGCTCGATAAACCAACATAGGCTTTAATTTCAAATTTCCTTTAGCATTACCACCCAATAAAAGGGTTAGTCTATCCTTTGCAGCTTTATATCCTGACTGGGAACTCTCAGATTTGGCTGGAAAAGTTTTGGAAGGCATCCTTTTCCAAAATAACCCCGTCTCGTCAATGTTAAAAATTTGTTCATCCGAATCCCCTCCTTCTTCCACAATTTTCTTCAGAACTTCAGGATATTCATCAGCAGCTTCCTTATCTGCACTAGCTGCTTCCCCTGTAATTCTTACATTGTGCATGCTAGTTCTTTTCTTGAACTTCTCAAACCATCCAGCACTAGCATGGAACTCCTTTGTCTCGTCTTTGGAATTTTCTTCTTTTAAGATTGAAAAGAGACTTAATGCTTTTTCTTTTATGAGATCAGTGCTTAAAGGAATTCTTTTCTGGTTACAGTCCTCTATCCAGGTAGTTAGCAATCTTTCTAATTCAATCATGATAACATTTTGATTTCGAGTGGTATGCACACATGATAAGTTTGAAGCAGCTTTACCTAAAATTTCTCTTACTGTTGACTCACCTAGTTTGTGCTCTAGGCCTATTTTTGATTTCGAGACACCATCTTCACTTTTTCTTATGATTTCTATTTTTTCTTCTAAAGAAATAACTTTTGAGTTTTCCTTACAACTTCACTTTCATCTTCACTAAGTCTTTTGCTCATGTTTAGGAAAAGGTGGTACGTTAAAATGTCTAAAGTTTAAAAAAAATGTCAAAAAATTATTTCAAAGATGCCCAAATGGCTTGAGTAGTTAGGCTAATAGCAGACAACTAATTACTTAGATGATGTAATAACTAGAGTGTCCACCCCGAGGCAATAATTTTTTTATCCTGGGGAATGGGTTACCCGTGAAAAAAAAATTTAACCCGTGGTAAAAAATATTTGAAATAAAAGATACTTGATTAAGATTTTTATTGATTAATAAATCGTATTTAAAAAAATATCGAATAAATAACAAGGCTGACAAAGTTTTATCACTTTTTTTTGTTCAAGCTTGTCGTAAAAGTAAACAGATCTGGAAAATCTCACAGTATAAAAAACACGTTACAAAATTTAAATCTAATCGAATACTCATATGTCACTTTCAAAATACCTCTATAAGACGTCATTTTTATTAAGTTTAAAACATTATAATAAAAAAGTTCTTTAGTGAGCTCAAATCTATGTGAATTAGAGCAATTAAAGAAAATTAAAAAAAAGCGATTAAACTCCTGGCCAACGATTTCTTCAGATCTTTCTTCTCTCAAAATGTATCTCTTTCATTTTCCAAATTCCTTTCACCAGCCCTAGCAAAGGTTTTACCCTTTTTCACTGACTTGTATTTCAAATCTATGGTGCGTTTCCTATAAACAACGACGATTATCATGATGACGATGATTTTGATAAGGACAATGGTTTTTATGAATTATTGTTATGAAAAAGATATTTGTTCAGTAAAATAGTAAATATTTGCCCCAGGGTATTTCAAGTATTTTACCCCGGGGCAAGGGGTGAAAAAATCGCTAAAATACCCCGGGGTGGACACTCTAGTAATAACTTGACAAGTAAAATAGTTACCCATTTACTATTTTTAATTTTTTAAAAAATTTAATTTCGGTGCCTAAAACTTACTTTTCAATTACTATGGTTAAAATAAAATGTGTTACCGCACTAATTGAGTATTATGCACGCACTAATCGAATATTGGTTATAAAAAAATTTAAGCGCACTAAATGAAAACGTATTAATCGAGGGATCCCTGTATCTTCATTTCTCTGAAATTTTTGATGAAATGTACTTAAGATTGTACCTTAACAGCCTAGCTTTCTCAATATATATAATCAATCAATCTTTTTTTCGTAACTACGGTTACATGATGGTTGCCAAGTTATTTACATCTGGAAGCAACATATTTATAATTCGTGCAGCTGATTTTATTATCCTCATACGTGTTTGAAACTTGTTGTGCACAAAGATGACAGTTAGGTTTTCAGTGAATTTTATAACCTTATATACTAGTATAAAAATATGTTTTCACTATTTGAAAACAAAACTTTAAATTTATACTGTGCAAGTCTGATTTAATCTAACTGAGGGTCTGCCAAGCAGTTCTCATTAACATGTACATTCTCAGAAATGGAAACATTTAAATAGTGGAAGAGAGAGATTAATAAGCACATTAATGTATATGAATGGTTACAGTCATGGGCGTCGAGAGCCAGCCCAGGCCCCAGGGTCAGTAATATCACCGCCCCCTCTCATTCTATTTACTAACTTTTGCTGATGTTTCATAAAAGAAGTTTAGGTGACAAATTTCTTCATGAATCCATGAAAAAGCAGCAGCCATTTGAACTCATTAAAGTAGTATTCATTTCTAGTGAGCTTTGGAACATCCCACGGCCAGACCCATCAACAGACCATGGGGCCCCGGGGCAGCTGCCTCCCCCCTTGGTTACAGTATGGTGGATGGAAAGTGTTTTACCTCTAATGTATTTACGTAGTTGTAAGTTGTAATAGGTAAACTTATTAAATACACTTGACTGATTGAAGCAAAGAAAGTTTAGTTTTGAAGTATTTTTGATACTTGACAATAACCATAAGGATATCACATTTCTGTTAAGAAGGTTTTTAATCCACAGTAGTGAGCTAATTATAAGGAAATTGCCATGTTTTAGTGGTGAACTTTTAACATGCTGGTTTAGGGTTCAAACTTTTATTTTGAAAAATACGGTGAAACTCCCAAAATGTTGTTTTAGTGTTAACAAAAAGTCTTTTTAAAGCAAGTCTACTTTTGTTCAGGGCCATTCCATTTTGACCTTGATTTGCACCATAAGAATGGTTTTAATCATATTCATGACATCTGGTACACTTTGGACATTTAATATAAATAACAATAAATATTCTTCAGTTGTTTCTTGGTTGAGGTAGGTCTGATCAATCATTTCTAAGTCTGCCAGTCGTTGAATGATCTAAGACAATGAAAACAGTTACAATGAGAAGAAGAAACTCTCTTATTCTTAATATTTTTCTGATTCAAAGCTTATGTCCCTTTTTGATTAGATTCTAATATTTTTGGACAATATACAATCTCCCTTTCTGTCCATTTTAATCTCAACAGGAAACCCATTGTAATGCATCCACAATGTTTGCTTTTATACAAACTTCTAACTTTTCACTTACAACTGAGACTAAGAAGAATTTTTTTTAGTCTATTTAAATAGTTTAGCACTGAAAACAGGCCTTCTGTAGATAGATTACTTTGCAAAAGGCATTGAAATTTCACCAAAATCTTAACACAAATGGGTGGGGTAGGGGTGGGGGGGGGGAGAACTAATTTTCAAGTTAAGATTCTCTGCAAGAAGTGAACTGATGAGCCCAAAAGTTGTATTTTTTGAAAGCTCTAATACAAAATTATTATTGAAAGGCAACTTTGTTTTTCTTTGTTGTTCATTAAATACTTTGGTGATGAAACATCTACTAATTTCTTTACGGTTGACTCCCAATTTCTGGGTTAAAAATGATTATGAAAAAAATCTGTAGACAATAATAACAAATAATTGCCTCTTTATTTTCAAACCTTTTTTTTTTTGTTAAGTCACTTCTTTATAGTTTTTTAAATTTTACTCCATGGACATTTAAAATATTTTTTTCGTAATAACATTTTAGGTAAATTAATAGCTTCAAAGTATTACAATATCTAAAACCTGTATAATATTTTACTTCTAATCTTATTTTTTATTATTTAGGAACAGTTGAAAAAGCATGAAAGATGTATTTCTCAATATTAATACAAAGTTCTTTTATTCTGTGCAGGTTTTTAATTTGGTTAAAACATTTGTATGAGGAAATGAATGGAAAAACAGCAACTCACAGAAGTTCACTTCTAAGTTTATCACCGAACAGGGCTATTTATCCATCTTCTAGGTAATGTTTTTTGGTAGTAAAATACATTTAAGAAACTACCATCTTGTAATTAAGTTTGTTGTACAATGTAGGTACAGTTTAACTTGTATATACTTTAATGTGTATATTTTATATCAATTTTAATTAATTTTTAGGTAAACGTACTATAGATGTTTTGTAGTTTTATTCATTTTATTCTCAAGAGTAACCAGGGAAGTTATAAAAGTGGTAAAATAAAAATTATGATTCTTTACAAGAGATGGGGCAGAGTGTGGCCCAGTGATTAGCATGTCTGATCTGTTGATTCATCATTCTCATCCCTTCACTGCAAAATCAAAGCAAAAAAAAACATGCTCTGTACTTTGAGGCCATGGGTGCATTATAAGTTTGATGTTCCAATCTGACTCTTTGATCAGACAAGAGTTGGTGACAGGTACTTTTGATTAGCTACCTTCTGTTTAGTGTAGTAGATAAAAGTTATGGATGGCTAATGCAGATAGCCCTCGAGTTTCTTTGCATGAAAATCTGAAAACAAAACCAGCAAAAGATGATGTTAACTAATAATATACGAGTCTTTGATTTATGACAAAATTGATAGTGACTTGAGTAAGCATATTTAACATTAATCTTAAGGATTTTTCTTGAGTGAGTCTTGATTATTTTTGCTGTAATCAGTTGACTTTAGAGTAAGTTATACATGTATACTAAACAAACCATGCTGGAGTTAAAACAGTTTTAACAGTAGTCTTCAGCTAATTATTTTTCTCTTATGTTTCTGTTTGACGTTTTCATTTAGGCATTTAATATTTTTAAGAAATGCAACCATTGGTTTTCATTATTTTTGTGTATTATTAAACAATGGCTCCAAAGATGTTGTTGACAAATTAGAAATTCGTAAACTGAATTCCCTAACGTAATCATCGGATATACATTTTAATTCTACATACTTAATATTTTTTTCATTGTTTTTAAGATCTTGTTTTCAATTTGATTAAAATAATTTTAATTTATTTTTTAGATTCACCTGAAATTTGTGGTGTTTTTAAATATCTATCAAATAAAAATATGCATAGGTGTGGTGGTGAGGGTTGTGAGTTTGAATCCCTGTCACTGAACATGCTTGTCCTACATGGTTGCCAACTGATCCAGCCACACTGATGTAAAAATTTGTAGCTTACATTAATACTGGCTGACCCCAAACTAGTTGGGATTAAGTTTGTAACAGAAAAAACACATATATTATGTCTTTTATATATTCAAGATTAGTTACACTTAAATTATATTAACTTTGTTAATTTTTATATATTCAAGATTAGTTACACTTAAATTATATTAACTTTGTTAATTTTTATATATTCAAGATTAGTTACACTTAAATTATATTAACTCTTAATTTTTATATATTCAAGATTAGTTACACTTAAATTATATTAACTCTGTTAACTTTTATATATTCAAGATTAGTTACACTTAAATTATATTAACTCTGTTAACTTTTATATATATATATTCAAGATTAGTTACACTTAAATTATATTAACTCTGTTAACTTTTATATATTCAAGATTAGTTACACTTAAAATATATTAACTCTGTTAACTTTTATATATATATATATATTCAAGATTAGTTACACTTAAATTATATTAACTCTGTTAACTTTTATATATTCAAGATTAGTTACACTGAAATTATATTAACTCTGTTAACTTTTATATATTCAAGATTAGTTACACTTAAATTATATTAACTCTGTTAATTTTCATATATTCAAGATTAGTTACACTTAAATTATATTAACTCTGTTGACTTTTTCATTCTCTTAGAATTTCTGGCTTTGTTGTCTTCTTAGTCATCAGTAAAGGGTTGTTGGGACTTTGTTACTTTCTGGCTTACGATATTTTAAAAGCCGTTCACGTAGTGCAGTTTCTGTTCATTATCAAAGCCATGTAAGTATCTCTGTGAATTATTTTAAACATTTTAGTTCATGTAGTGCAGTTTCTTTTCATTATCAAAGCCATGTAAGTATCTCTGTGAATTATTTTAAACATTTTAGTTCATGTAGTGCAGTTTCTGTTCATTATCAAAGCCATGTAGGTATCTCTATGAATTATTTTAAACATTTTAGTTCATGTAGTGCAGTTTCTGTTCATTATCAAAGCCATGTAGGTATGCCTGTGAATTATTTTAAACATTTTAGTTCATGTAGTGCTGTTTCTGTTCATTATCAAAGCCATGTAAGTATCTCTTTGAATTATTTTAAACATTTTAGTTCATGTAGTGCAGTTTCTGTTCATTATCAAAGCCATGTAAGTATCTCTTTGAATTATGTTAAACATTTTAGTTCATGTAGTGCAGTTTCTGTTCATTATCAAAGCCACGTAAGTATCTCTATGAATTATTTTAAACATTTTAGTTCATGTAGTGCAGTTTCTGTTCATTATCAAAGCCATGTAGGTATTTCTATGAATTATTTTAAACA